GATTACCTTTATAATGACCTTATCAAGGATGCTGTCTAAGGTAGCTCGATTCATTTTTGGCAGAAATTGTTCTTCACTTAAGATTGACAAGATCCGCAATGCCAGCTCAGTTGTGATAAGCTCCCTCCCATGCTGTCCAAAACTCTGGAAGACAAGGAATCATTTCATCTGTCAAAAACACCAGAAATTACGAATCTGAGATGATCTATCCACTACATATCAATCTAGAAAGAACGTTTTCAAGTGTCATCATGACTGCTTTGCTGTACTGAAGTATAAAATCTATTTGTTTTCCATCTATAAATTACAGAACTTACAAGAAGGATCCGAAACTTTGACCTGTCATCACTCTCTTTCCTACTCCGGCAATAAGTAACCACCGTGATCTCTGCCTCATAACCTTTGTTTGCAGTTTTCATAGTCTCTATCTGTTGAAAGCATTAATAATGATAAACAGAATGCCAACACATGAACAATAACATATTAGAATCTTACACAACACTCACCATTAGTTTATCAGGGTGCCTATGGACCAAAGACTTTATTTCTTCGATCAAATCGCTACTGTAAAATACCAATAGAGAATCAATTAAAAAAAAAAAAAAATCAACCGTATTTAACTAAAAAAAATCAAGATTTTATTCTCTAAATTTCAAATCTCCATAACTTCTTTCTTTCAAGCAAAGACATCATCAAAAAAGCATTATATTCTTCATGAAGCTATAACAGCAAAAAATAAAAAAATAAAAAAATAAAAAATCTCTAAGATTCGTTAGGTTTTCTGGTTAACTCGTAGATATAGCTTCAGAATAAAATTGCAGAAAGCTTAAATTCTCAATCAAGGACGGTTGAAATCAAATGCGAACTCTGACCAGTGATTTTGCTGAAATTAGTCCGTCGTGCTTACATTTACCGTAATATCTGGATAGCTAGAAATCAAAGAAACTTCAAATCTCTGCTTCTAACAAAAACCGTATCATTGATCTCATTAGAGAAGACGCACGATGGCTCTTCATATCAGAATTCTCTGTACTTCGGAAAGCTAAATTCGATTCTCAAGGCGGGAATTTAAACAACCAGATTCAATCACAAATTCCAAAAAAAAAAGCAACGCAGGGACAAACTTATGCTTCTTGGAAGGTCGAGGAGACAAACTGAAATTTACTAGTTGTCTCTCGAGATTCAAAGTTGATCCAGAAACAGACGAGCGTAGTAGGTACCTGGAATGGTAGAGATCGCGGTTGATTGGCGTAGGAGAAGATTTGGTGAGATTAGCATCGCCATAAACGACGGAGAAGCATCGAAGAGAAGCAAGAATTGATAGGAGAAGACAACAGAGAGAAAAGCGAACATCCATGGCGCGGCGGGGGAGGAGGCGGAGGCGACAGAGGAGGAGCAGAACGTTGGGTTGGTCTTTTCGTTTGTTTTCGTTTCACCGCATTTTCTAGGAAGAACCATCCAAGAATTTTTACCGTAAAAATTTTGTTTGGATGGACAGAGAAAATGGAGAAGAGAGAGGTTAGGTGGTCTTGTCAATTAGTCGCTTGGATTTTCCTCATTCAACGGTCTGTCGGCCTTTGTTCCTCTTTTTGTCTTTATTTTACGTGTTTAATTTATACTGTAATTTACTTAATTAATCTTGTTTGGACATTCTTAACTAGAAATTATATATATATATATATAAACAAACCACAAAAAATTTTTTTGGCCTTTAAAAAAAATTGAACTTAAATTAAAACTACAATTTTTTTTTTTTGTTAGAAAAGTTGAAGTTCTACGAAGGACAGTATTTTAAAATGTGCTCCTAATTTTTATATCACAAATTTGTAAAGAATCAAGATCCATTTATATTTGTATAAGGTTTTTACGTATGACATAATTTATCAACCATAGACATCACAAATTCAACGTTGAGATAATAGTACTATATTTGATGTATTTGATAAGTTGATAAATATATTATTAAATATATTATTAAAAAAGCATTATACAATTTAAATTGTTTTAAACTTAATAATTTTAATTATTAGATGGGGTAGACTCCTAATATTGAAAAATTCATCTTTCATTTAATGATTTTTATTTTACAATTAAGTAGATTTCAAATTATAAAACAAAAAACTCATATATTATTATGATACACCATTTAATTATTGTTATTATTATTATTATTATTATTTGAACAATTGTCATGGGATCAGATTGAATCGTTACCCGGAAGAAGGAAGAAAGGAGAAGGTGATGACGGATACCAGTCGATCCTATGGATCAGGTTCAATACATCATATTAATTATTAAATGTAAAATCAATGGACAAATAAATTATGTAAATTTATGATTCTTACACATATCTAATTGGGTACTAGTATTTCATTTGTAATTTCAAAAATACTAAAATTTGTTTACCATTAAACTTTTAAATTTAATAATTTAATTAAAATTTAAAATTTTTATAACTATTTCATATTTTTAATTTTTTTAACAAGGCTCATTGTTAGCTTCTTAACATTTCAAAAGTTTAAAACTCTAGTATTGATTTTAAACCAAAAATTTAATTAATAAATACTGAACTAAATTATAACTAGGAAAATGATCTATACACCTTTGATTTAACACATTTTTTGACATGTTTTTATTTTAACAATTAAAAATATAATATAAATATAGTTAATTCAATCAATTCTTACATCATACATGTATTTATTTTTTAATAGGTGCGTTGAATCAAAATGTGTAACAATCACTGTTCTTATAATTAATATTTTATATTTTTAATTAATTTTATAGTTCAACACTTCATAAAAAAATTCAGGAAAGTTATAATATAAGGGGTACATACATAATTAAGGTACAATACAAGCCGAAAGCTTATCGGACTTTCAGTTTTATATTTTAGGCTACTAGCGAGAAGATGCACTGATCTAAAATAGTAGTAGATTAATAATAACATGCTTAAAATGCACCTAAATGTCCCTGTCTTTTCTTTTTCTTGTGTAGCTTCAAAGGACATAAGGGGCCTTGCCTTCGGTTTTCTAGGTATTATCAGCCTTGGAAACACTCTGACTTCACTACCAATGCAACTTTTTTCAGTGTTTAACATTTCACAAGAGTTTTCTATGTGTTTATGCTCCACATCCCAAACAATTGGGAACATTTTAATTGGCTCCTCGCTACTATCCTTTGATAATGAGGAAGGAGTTGGCAGGACGAAGATCAACACTGCAACTCCATGCATTGTTTTACATACTGACATTTACAACCCTCTCCTTGACAAATTTGTGATTAGTGCTACCACTTTGAAGATTGAGAGAGTGGCATCTGTGTCACCCTTTGGTGCATGCTTCAACTTAAAGACCATTCATAGAATGGGGGAAGAGTTGCATGTGCCCACTATCAATTTGGTTTTGCAAAACAACATCATGTATTGGAGGATTTATGGACGTAACTCCATGGTGAGGGTAAAGAAAAGAGTGATGTGCCTAGCATTTATGGATGGTGGATCAAATTTGAGAACTTCTATAGTTATAGGAGGGCATCAATTGGAGAATAATTTTTTGGAGTTCAATCTTGCATCTTTAGAGTTATGATTTAACTCTTCGCTCTTGGTTAAAAATAGAAGTTGTTTTCACTTGGGAGGATATTACTTGAATTGAGCTTGGTTATGAGGTTTTTGGTTGTTAGGTGGCGTGTGAAAGAATGGTTTTCATTATAATGTAACCTTGTAAAAAAATTAATAGTCAAGTAACCCAAAAATAGTGTTAAACTCAAAGGTCAAGATACTAATTAATGCCTTTGGGTTTTATTTCAATTGCTTAATTAATAAGAAGCCTTAATAATATCTGCTATTAAAATTTATTACTATAGTGATCCAAATATTTTTAATAACTTATTTGTTTTGAAAGGCAATGAGAAAAATTTTTCCATTTAGATTAAAAAATATATCTTTCCATTTTAATCTAATCAAACAATAGGGGATGAAAGAATACCTTTCTCATTAACCCTTGTATCTAGAAACATCAACTTTCATTTTAGACTTAACATATTTAGCAAGTTGTCTACTAGTCAAGTGTGAAGCATTTGTCACTAACATCCTCAATGCATTTACTAAAAATGGTCATGTCACTAATTTATTCTTATTAGTTTTAAAGCATGCATGCTTTCTATAATATGTCTTGATCATGAAACAGTTATTAGTATTTTCAAAACCTATATAGATTTCCCAAAGATACCCATGTTTAACATCACAAACATATCGTTGTCTTCCTGGTTCATTCTTCTTTGAACTCCATCAATATTTTTGCAACCTCAATTATTTTTACATCACCAATTGAAGGCAACAAACCACTAGTAATATAATGCCTTTACTTATTGAATCTTGACCTCATTAAGCTTATTGGTGATATCGAAATAACATAATTTGTCAATGTCATTAACTCCTAAATCATAGGTTTCACCTCCAACATAATGTGAAACATTTTTGCTAACAAGTCTAGCATAATCACTATTGTAAAAAGTAGGCTTTGGCGTTGCATAGTTACTGTGTGTTGGCTTTTTGCATCGCATCAACCTCTAGTCAGTGGGTCTATATGGTTTGAACAACTTATCTTAATTAAGCAAGTTCAAGTGCTATTAGGGGCACTTAATTGTGCCTAGGCAATTTTTTTTTTGTTGCAAACTAATGAAACAATGTCATTGTCATCTTCATAAAAAAATATTATTAAAAAAATGCTCTAAATTCTTATTTATGCCCATTTGCCCGCTCTCAGCCTTTCGTTGTTCCTTCTTCTTGCTTCCTTCTCTGAGACGATGAGACCTTTCATTTTCCATTTCTATACCCAAATCCACTTTGATCCATCTGTGCATATAAATACAAAACAACAGTCAAATAGTAACTTATAATGATAATGAATACAAAAAGTTTAATTTTCCTCTCTTTTTTTTTTTGTAATTTTAAAATTTGTCTCACTTTTTTTCCCCTACTTTCTTAGTATTATATAAAAAAACTTATTTAAAAAAAAAAAACCACCTAGGCTATCTGGGCTCTGGGCTATGGACAACCGCCCACCATCGCCTAGCGCTTTTTACAACCTGGAGCGTAATGGATATAGATCTTAAACGGTGCATCATCACTTGACATTGCTATTTTTAAATAACAAAAAACACTAAAACAATAAACAAATCATCCCTAATATTGTTAGATAAAACTACCAATAATTTCACCTCAAACTCCCCATCTGTTAATCCCCTTTGCATGTCCATACAAAACCCTAAACCTTTAGACCCACATAATAGTTAATTAATCACTAATTGCATACTTAAATCACAAAGATTAGATTAATAGATGAACAAAATCCTAATATCCATTTCACCCCATAGGCTTTAAAACTTATTTAATGATTGAATAATGAAGTCCACTTATCTCTTACAGATGAGAACAACTCGAGATTGAAGAAGATTCTTTTAGGTCTGGTCGTCCTTAGTGGTCCCTTTTATGTCTTTCTATGTCTTTGTCTACAACTTTTCATAAGGTATTCTTAAGTATAAAAGACAATGACTTCCCTTTTTTCTTTTTCTTTTTTTTTTTTAAACTTTTGCGTCTAGTGGATCAAATAGGTGGCAAAAATCCCAGCCAAATGCTAAATCCCATACCATATAGGCATGACATGGCAATATTTTGCAATGCGAGTAAGTCCCCAAATAGCAGTTAAATTGGCTGTAAGAATAAAGGCTAAATTAATTCGATCACAAAGTCCAAGGGCTTATATGCATTAATTAAAGTCTAGGGGTTCAATAGCGATTCTGGGATTAATTCTAGGGCTTAACTTATGGTTTTGCCTTTGAGGAGCCTTCTTACAAAAGGCCCATAATTATCTAAGACTTTGTCAAAGACTTAAAACTGACACCATTTACAAGCCTATTACAATTTTGCCACTAGGACTAGGCTAGGCTATTTATCTTGTTGTCTTTACATATATCTAACTTTTATGTACAAAAAAATTTCAAAAATTGAAGTAGAAAAACCTCTCCTTGTTTCTCCTCCTCCAAGTCCTAAATGGCTTCTTTATTCCTTAACTTTCTTTTTCTCTTCTTTGCATTAGGCTTTTACATTTCAACCTCAAATATAGAAGTTATCTCTGATACTTAAGCCTTCACACTTCCTATAAAATAAGACAATGTATCCCCTCGATACATCACTACAACAAAGATAGGTGCTAATGCCCTGTCCACTAGCACAATCATTGATATTGGTGGTCAGCTACTTTGGTCCCATGTTGGCTACAACACCTTTTTATTATCGTGTTACATGCAATTTAGATGAGTGTGACGTTGTGGGAGAAGCAATTTCCTACAAATTTTACATTTTTCTACCAATCTACTACCTTTCTAGCTTAATGCATGTGGTATTGATTACTATAATCCATTTGTCATTAAAACTAGATCACTAACTGAACCAGTAATAATGCTTGGAATGATATCATCTAGTGACCTAGCCAAAGATACCTTAACATTTAACTCAACAGATATGAGAGGAAAAGGAAAAAGAGTCAAGGTTCCTATAAATGTTCCTCTCTTTTCTTTTTCTTATGTAGCTTCCAACGATGTAGTGTTAAGGGCCTTTACTACTAATGCGCTAAGAATTATTAACCTTGGAAAGACTCCAACTTCATTACCGATGCAACTCTTTTCAATGTTTAACATTTTGCATGAGTTCTTTATTTGTTTGCCTTCCTTTTTCATAACAATTGGAAACATTCTAATTGGGCCAGAAATAAAAATGCATCTACTGTGGCTTATTGATGACCACACCAATACTCATCAATTGGGTAAGCCAATATCAATATCTAGACAACTTGCCTTTTTTTAAGTATTTCATCAGAGTGAAATCTATAAATGAATGGTTTCCTTCAACACCTTATTGCTGTCCTTTGATAAAAATGAGAAGAGAATTGGTGGGACAAAGATCAACACTACAACTTCATACACTGTTTTACATATTAACATCTACAACACTTTCCTTAATGTCTTTGTGATGAGCGCTACAACCATGAAGATTGAAAGAGTGGCATTGGTGGCTCCCTTTGGTGCATGTTTCAACTCAAAGACTATAAGAACTACAGTAGGTGGGCAAGATGTGCTCACCATAGATTTAGTTTTGGAAAGCAGTAGTGTGTACTAGAGAATTTATAGACATAGCTCCATGGTGAGGGTGAAGAAAGATGTTATGTGCCCCGCATTTGTGGATGGTGGATCAAGGCCTTGGACTTCTATAGTCATAGGAGGGCATATGTTGGAGGATAATTTTTTAGAGTTTGATCTTGTGTCTTTACAGCTATGATTTAGCTCTTCTTTCCTGGCTAAAAACATTAGTTCTTCCTACTTGAGAAGATTTACTTATAAGTTGATATAGTCTACCATAAGAGTGAAGAAATAAAAGGGAACCACTTCTCATTATTAAGCAACCTATGAGTTGAAAATAGATCTATAATTTATTTCTAATTTCCTCTTGTATAATGAAGTGCTTTTTAATTGACTTAAGTCACTCAAAAAATGAATAGGTACTTTTATTCAAGTTTTACATGATTCTTTGAGCTATCATGTAAGGTTCAACTACTTGGATTCGAATGGAAATGCAACATGAAGGATTGGTTTTGTTAGTAAGCTATAATATCGTCTTAAAAGTTAAATTCAGAGTTTAAATTTTGAAATTAGTAGTGCTCAAGAAAATAAACCAATATAGATGGTGTGCTTTTAAAATTGTTTCAAAAGAAATTAATTTCAAAATGTAGGAAAACTTACCTAAAAACACCTTAATTGTTAAAATAAAAAAAAAAAAAGAATGGAAATGCTGTTCAGTTAGGGCATGGTGTAGAATAAGGGTTTTTTTTTTTTTTTGATAAGGACAATGGTTAGAGGTTAGTATGTTAGAGGTTAGTATGTTAGAGGTGTTAATGGGGAGTATTGAATCCGAAACTTGAGAGTGCAAACCACGGACTGTCCTTTAGGGCAGCAAGTGACGGCACATGGAATGCAGTGTAAAATAAGGGTATGGCACATGAAACGCAGTGGTCCATGGTCCTTTTCTTTGCTACCCAGTTAGGCAATCTTGCCACATGCCAAGCTTTGGCCAGCTGGTCAATGAACCTATCATCAACAAATCTTTTCAGCCTTCCTTAGCATTCAAGTGCACATTTTTTTTCTTTTTTTTTTTTTTTCTTTTTTACAAGAGCAATAGTTAGTAAGTTAGTTTTGTTAGATGTTAACAACTGGGGATTCGATCTCCATATTTTGTGAATATTCCACATCCCTCAATGAGACGCGTGGCCAATCGGATCGCTTAGTGGAGTTCATTCATGTGCACATTTGAAAGCTTTAAAGTAATGCAAGCTTGCCAACAAATTTTTTTTATATTATCATCAATTGATTTTCTATTTCCATTAACATCTTATCGTAATGTTTAAACATTAAATTAATAAGTAGTTCAGTAATAACTTCCTTTCACTGAAAATAAAAAATCTTGAATTCGAATTACATGATATACGAGTAGGATGAAATAAGAAATAAAATGAAAAATGAAAGAAGATTGTATCCTGGTGTATAACTAACATAAAAAAAATAATAAATTAGTAATTTTTTATTAAAAAATAAAATATAAATTGTATAGTATAAAAAATAGATTAAAAGTTAAAATAGAGTTATGTTTTATAGATCTAAAAACTATTTGGTCATAATGGTAATAGAATAATATTATCAGGAGGCGCCCGAGTTCTTCCTCCGCCCAACCAGATCATGCTAACCCTCCTGCCATACACCCCATGACCGAGAACCAACCCCTGGGCGATAGCCCAGCCCCTTGCATCCCTTGCTGCTTACAGGAATTCAGCATGGATGGGTGCAACATGGTAATGTAGCGAAGGCAAAGACAGAACAAAAGGTATCTTAGCAATGCAATAAATCTGTTTTTCCCCTTTTTGGTAAATTTTCTAGCATTTTCTTTCCAATTTTTTTCTGCTTTTTGAATTTTTGATTAAAAATGAAAATGAAAACGCCTACAGGTGCCTAGTTCCACGGTGCCCCAATACCATACCGTTGCGTAGTGGTTTTAGCAACACTGCTTACCGCACAAAAACTCAAAGACGGATTCTTTAAGGCCGTCCAACATCACTAGTTTGAAATAAAACAAGATTAGATCAATAATTTAGTACAAATTGCAAGGTCCTGCATCCTTATACTGTACAAAAAACTTTTAAAAATTAAAGTATCTTACCTAAAACACCATTAATTAAAATTCGGAGAGAGGATGACTGGGGTTGGTAGCGTCTGAATTAATCAATTTTTTTTGGAACGAGTCTGAATTAATCATTTTTTCAAAATCACATCCTTTGTTATGTGCCATTAGCTTCCAAAGAAGCTTTGTCAGCCGCTTTCCAACACTACATTCAAAAACTCTACAGAGAAAATACCCTTCCTTGACAATCGAATTTACAAACCAAGTTGGTAACATTTTCTTAGTTCCACCATAATGTTTTATAATTTATATCGTAAAACAACAAATTTTGTGATAGAGGATTTGATGCATTTTTGTAATATTATTTTCAATTGAGGGCATTCTTTGGCTACCAAGATAAGGTTAGGGACCCAACTGCCTTTCAAAACTTCACATCACATCTATAAATTGTACAGTTGACAATAAGGAAGAAATCAGTCCAACAGTGAATTTTGGTGAATTCAAAATCCTTTTCTCCGATGGCGCAGGTGCTAGGCAAATGGGTTAAGGTTTGCTATTATGCTTCTCCATAACTCCTGCTTTATGCTATCTTGATATTTCATACAAATAAACAAACATAACCATGATCTGCTTAAATGTTTGCTTAGTAATTCAAACTTTAGATTTTCATTTTCTACATGCAGAGTGAAGAATTTTTACCTTTTAAAGTTTTAGGAAACTAATATTTTTTTATTTTTCACCATTGAGTCCAGAGATTTTTGTTCTTCGAATTCTGGAAAACTCATATTAGATTTTTGTTTTATTCTTTCAAAAACTGAATACACAGATCATATATAACAAAAAAGTGATTAAAAATCTAGACTACAGGTACTGCAGAAACATGAAATCATAGTAGCAGAATCATAAAAATCAAAGGTCAAAAGACTAGAGGGTTAAACAGATTTCTTGATTGGGTTACCTTGATGTAACCTTCATGTTTTTGACTGGGTCATGTCGATTTTCTGTCCATTCTATCTATCTAGTGTTTTTTAATGATGAAAATTATCATGATTCTTCAATTTCTCACTGGATCGTGAATAGAAAACCCATTTGATTGATTAACAACTCTGTGAATTTGTAATTTTGCATCAGCTGGCTCAGATGGGAACTGGGCCTGGAGCTAGAAGCTCACACGCCATCGCCGTTGTAGGACAGAAAGCCTATGCTTTTGGCGGCGAGTTCAGCCCCCGCGTCCCGGTGGACAACAAGCTCCACGTCTTCGAGCTAGAAACCCTAACATGGTCTGTCGCCAACGTAACTGGCGACATCCCCCCTCCGCGCGTCGGGGTCTCGATGGCATCCATCGGGGAAGTCGTCTACGTTTTCGGTGGCAGGGACAGTACCCATTCGGAGCTCAACGAACTATACTCCCTTGACACGCGGACGAACAAATGGACCCTCCTTTCCAGCGGCGATGCCAGCCCCCCTCATCGGAGTTACCACTCCACGACCACCGATGACCGACGCGTGTACATATTCGGTGGGTGCGGCGTCGCCGGAAGGCTCAACGATTTATGGGCCTATGATGTCATTGACGGAAAGTGGATTCAGTATCCAAACCCAGGAGAAAACTGCAAGGGTAGGGGAGGGCCTGGCCTGGCCGTGGCCCGAGGAAAAATATGGGTCATATATGGGTTCGCCGGAGTGGAAATGGATGATGTGCATTGCTTTGACCCGGTTCATGGACTATGGACCCAAAAGGAGACCCACGGGGAGAAACCTACGGCTCGGAGTGTATTTTGCACCATCGGCATCGGAAAATACATAATCATATACGGCGGGGAGGTGGACCCAAGTGACTTGGGCCACCTCGGTGCAGGGAAGTTTACCGGAGAGGTTTATGGGCTAGACACGGAGACATTAGAGTGGAAGAAGTGGGAGGATGGGCCGGGGTCAGATAATCATCCTGGGCCTAGGGGGTGGTGTGCATTTGGCAAGGGTTGCAGGGGTGGGCAAGAGGGACTGCTGGTGTATGGTGGCAACTCTCCTACCAATGATCGGCTTGATGACATTTCCTTCTTTACTCCTCTGTATTGATGGAATTGAAAACCAATGGTTGGTGTGTTAGGTTATGATGAATAATGTTAAATATTTAAAAATGTGGGTTTCGGGTTTTGGGTTTTTTTTTTTTTTTTTGTTGCACAATAAGAGATAATTATATTTCATACCTTATTCTGTCATATGATTTGAACTCAATATATCTTATTTTCAGTAGAAAAAAATGATCACTGAACTATTTAGCTCGTTGACGGTTTTTGGGTTTTATGTGTTGTATTAAAAGACATGATAATAAATGGTTTTCTACGAAGTCCTTAGAAGACAGAAATAGCATTTTGAATTCTCTATTGAATGAGAAATTACTGAATGTTTGAAGGAATCTTCTAGATTGAAACCTGTACATCACAAATTAACTATTTTTTTTATTAATTTAGGTTGTACTAGACAACATGTTGGAATATTGGTATGCAAATATTTTTTTTGGTTCAGTTTGAATATTTAATTTTTTTCTTCTAACACTTTAGGAAATCTAAGTGTTTTTTTTTTTTGGTCTCATTAGAAAATTTAAGTTGCATTTGAGATTATTGTAAAGTATT